TAGTTCCAGGTGAGTGAAAAGATGTGTATTTTTTGTTCTTGAATTTTTTTTAAACAAGAAAGAGGAAAAATAGTCCAAGGGCTTGGGTAAAGGAAACCCCCTCCCCTCCAAAAACAACATGAAGACAGCTTTTGGATAGTTGATAATAGAAGCTAAACTTTAGATTTTGGATGACATGATTTCTATCAAAAAGAAAAGAAAGAGAGGGGGTGGAACACTAGATGTTATTGTGTTGCATGTTGTTTGCTTAGGTGGGGGTTGTTTACTGCATCTATATGAAAGATATTGATGATTAGTTGGGTAATTGTAAACACCGGAAAATATTGAGAACAGAACCAAATCCTATGGAAAAACCAAGTACAACAGATCTTTAGGAGACGGTTCCTGTACATCATTTAACATGAAAATTGTTTCATTCTTTTCCGTTGACCTGAGCTGCAGGGTTCCTCTTTGTACGTTGACATTAGTCTACCATATCTTTTCCAAGTGTTGATAACCACTACCTAGAAATCTAATGGTAGTAAAGTAGCTCTTGCCAGACAAGTATAGCACGGGAACCAGCATTGTCGTTTTGATGTTCTGTAGCACAGCGTGTATTGCCTTGATAATTTTATGATGGTAGTGAGGTTAGGGCAATTTTATGATGGTAGTGAGGTTAGGGTGTGAGGGGTCGTATTTACATGTTCCATCTTTGTGAAGCTGCCCACTTCTCCGATTAACATGTCTATTAAGATAAAATGCAACTTTCGCTGAAAAGCAGTCTCCACGTATTTTTCATAGCCTTATGTTTTTATTGTTACTTTCAAATTGTATTACTAGGTCCTTTCATCCTTCATCCTACCTTTAGTGTTCGATGCCTTTCAACACCATTGGTTTAGGTTAGCTGATAGCTTCACTATTTGGTTCGAACTACAACTTGCAATATACTGTCATCCATTTAACATCAATTTAGATGGTGCTCTAGTTCTTTGTCAAGATTCTTGTCATATCATCTTAATTTTTTAATTCAATAAGCTTTCCTTTGATTAATCTTCAAGTGTTATTAAATTACTGACTATATATGTAACCGTATGGTTATTGTCGAAACAATTAATTGTGTTGTAGAAACTGGTATATGAAGATGAATATGAAAGTTAAACCATTCAATAGTAATCTAGGCACATGGTCTACAATCAGAATTTGAATTCCACAAGATAAGGATGCTTTTATTTGAACACTTCCAATCGATAATGGAGCCTTTTCTCCACAGGTAGGAGTTGACAATGCACAGAAAATGGCTCTCTTATTCAATCAATCAAACTTGCAATGAATCTACAGAGTTGACCCCATTCAAGGACTTCGATACTTGATTGGTACAGTGATTTTGGCCAGTGGTGACTGAAGACATGGAGCCAGTGACCTTCCCCAACTTGAGGAGCTAACCCCATTATTTTCAACATTCCATCAAATGCCATCAGGTACACGTCCCAAGTACTTTTAGAGAACCATTGGATTCATTTGACTTGCCTTTGGTGGGGTTTAAAGCTTTCTGCACCTTTCTTTTTCTCATATATATACACATTTTTTTTTATATTTCAAAACCATTACCAGTAATGCGCACTTGGTCAATTATCACTTTCACTTTGCCTAGTGGCTCAACATCGTTCAAGACATTGACACTCAGCACAAAATCAAATTGGCACTATCATTCTTGATATGGTTAAGAATCTATTGAAAATACTAAATATTAGGTTTTATATTTCGTTTATGTTCTGAGTTATTATATTAAATATTTAGTCTTTAAATTTTAAAAAACTTCAATTACATGTTTGAAATCTATAATGTGCTTCTGCTTAATATTTCTTATAAATTCTATTCATAGAATATTGAGATGACATGTTCATTAACTTATATAGCTATTTGCTTCATATTATATTATTCGATATAAATAAATCCCTGAATTGAACCATTAGCGTTCAATCGATCTGAAAGGCCATAAAAAGGCACTTCAAGGCTTTAGGAACTCATCTAATTTTAATTGAAGTTTTCTAGAACAATATTATGCACATTAAAGCATATCAGGGAAAATATATGGCAATTCTTTTGTGGGAAAAAAAGAGAGTAGAAAATACCTTTCATAATCAATATGTTGTGCTTTTTTTTTTTTTTTTTTTTCCCCTTTCTGGTGAGAAATTTTGCCAAAAACATATGTTCAAGAGATATTTTGCTGATATTAATTTATTTTAAGTTATGTTTCGAAACTATTAATAGAACTCCATTCTGATCATATTTAAAAATTGTAGAGGGTGGAAGTTGTTGTACAGCTTGTTGGTACGGTATGGTTATTTGAGGAGATTGGAGAACTGCTCAAAATGCTGTTCTATTTAAGATCCAAAGTCACAGCAAACACTAAGGGAAGAAGAAAAGTAAAAGAAACAGATAGCCATTGGAAGGCAAATTCTTGTCACTGTTGGGCTTGGGGGAGGCATTTGCCGTTAGAAGTGCTTGCTTTTCAGCACACTATTTTTCAATCTAATGACATCCCCCCACGAATCTCACCCATTTCATTCTCTACCATCATTATAACTCCCACAATATCAAGAATCTTGATCATTCTATTCGCATCTTTTTTCCCATTCTAATGGATGTGATATTGTACTTACCTTTTTAATTATCTTCGTCTTAAGTTAGTGCCACCCTCTCATTTCTAGGCTGAAGAAGATATGAATGTCTTGGTATGGCCTCGATAATCACAGGTATGGTAACATGTTTCTATCGAGTTTAAACACAAAAGAGTAAATGTTCTTAATCAATTAAATTATATGTTCAGATCGACAAGTTGTCGAATTTTGAGTTGTAAGTATAAACAAAATGGAGGACGAGAAAGGAAGCATTAATGGAGGAAGCAATGGGGGAAGTTTAGTCAAACATGGGTCCGGTAGTAGAAAGAAAGGTTAGTAGTGGGTTTGGCACTTTGGGTTGGGTTCTTTATTCATTCCAAAATAGCAAAGGATTCCATTTGGATGAAACTGAATATTCCTTAGAAATGAGCCATTCCAAAATGAAACTTCCTTTTTCTGCATGGAACATGCAGAATTGGTAATGGAGCAACAACAATTTTTTGCCCTTTCACAAGAAATCCCATCTTCTCTCCACCCCCCACACTTTTTCTCTCTCTACGAGAATCTTTGGGCCACATAATCATTCCCTCCTCTCCCCTAAAATTCCAATTTTAATTTACTTTTTATTTTCCAAATTCAAATTCCATGAATCTAAATTTTTTATTTTCCCCTTATTGTTATTGTTATTATTTTGGCTAATTTTAATTCTCGATTGTTGTTCTTATTTTGAACCATTCATTCTATTTCATATTTGATTCTTATTGTAAATTTGATGATGATTCATTTTTCGATTTTATATTTTTTAAAATTAAACATATGAGTTATACTCTCATGCATATATATTTATACGATACCAAAAATATTGTAAGCAAGCATAATTTGTAAAACTAAAGATTAAGATACTGACCAAATAAGTTCTATAAAATAATAAATTAAAAAAGTGTTTAATATCTAACTTTTAAAAATTAAATGTTATCGTGATAAATGGTTTTAGAGCCAGTCACCAAGTGGTGTGTATTGGCCCTCAAAAGAATGAATGGTAAGATCCTACATAGATTTAGAAGGAACATAATATTTCTTACAAGAGTGTAATGCTAGCGATTGACTAAGATTATTATAATTTAATAATTTCAAGAAAATAAGGTAGAGTTGTATGTACATCCGATAGGTTTTTAGTTATATTTTAGCGAGAAACTGAAATAAGCACTTACATAAAAGAACATGAGTATCTCCTTGTACCAAAATCATGCTTATAAATACTCCTCTTTGCTCAAAGCTTGGAACCATCCCATACTTACCTTTCTCTTATCTCTCATCCCTTCATATTTCTCTCTCTACACAAATGACTCTAATCAATTCCATCTGTACGGCCTTCCTCATTTTATCTTCCATTTGCAATATATCGCACACCCATGGAAGGCTGCTGCCGGTGGAGCATCCCATCGTCGGAAATCTTCACCGCAAAATCGTTGAAACTGCCGGTGTTGCTCCTCTCGGGTTGAGGCCACCGGCATTTCAACGCACTACCTCCTCTCCTGGCGACGGCGACGCCGAGGTGCTAGGCGGCGACTTCCGTCCGACCACCCCGGGGCACAGTCCTGGAGTTGGCCACTCTCTTGCACCAGCAAGCCACGTGGATTCGAAAATCCATTAGAATTTATGATCATTTATAGAGTTATATGTTATATTAATCATGATATTCGTAGTAACTTAGTTTAGTTGTATATTCATATTACCAACTGCATATTCTATTATTATGTATGATTATCTGTTAATTAATGAAGCTTGATTTTATTATTATTTTCTTTTATTTATTTATTTTTTACAGCTATTTTCATAATTAATAAAAATAAATTAGTGTCCTATGGTTAAGAGACAAAAGGTAAGATATTACTTTTTGAAACAAAACCATATTCTTTTTTTATTTAATTTATGAATTTATTTATAGGTAGATTGGATGAATAAAATCACACTAAAATATGCAATAGTCTAATTATTGACTCTAACTTATCCAAACCAATTATTTTGTTTAAAATTTAAAATGCTAAATTACATTTATTAATGAATTTCTTTTTATACAAAACAAAAATTGCTTAATTATTTAATATTTATTCTGGGACATAGTTGACTTAATAAAAATTTATTAATTTAATATTTTGTGTAATGTATATAATTGTTTTATGAATGTAGTTTAGCCAACAAAATATTAAAAAGATCAATTTCGAGGATTTTTATAGAAATTAAAAACTTGATTAAATTATTTAGAAATAAAAAATAAAAATAAAAGTACAAAATTTGAAATTAATTTGATAAACTTATACAAAATTAATTTTTGTAAAATTAAAAATAATAGAAAAACTTTTTAGTAATTTAGGAGTTGATGGTTACAGGATAATTGGCGGCGGATGGAGGCAAAGGCCGGGGAGAGGAAACTGAAATGAACAGCTGAGATTAAGTGTGTTCCTTAATCCTAGGGTGTATATAGACAGCCCAAAAACCTTCCGGTTTGTATTTTCGTCATCCTCATCCTCAGGCTTAGACCCTAATCCAGTCCTCCTCTTTCGGCTTCTTTGGGTTTCCCTTTTTTGCTCTCAGATTCGGATTCTTTTTCCTCTCATTCCATTCAGATTCTTTTACCCTTTTGAGTAAGGGTGTACATTAAAATCTGCTCCATTCTCCTTGTTAATACGAAGGAAGATAAGATGCAAAGCAACGGTTCTGATTCGCAGCCGCAAGAACCAAATCAGCGGCACCAGCAGCCGCAGTCGTGGATGTCAATGCAGTACCCGCCGCCGGCTATGGTAATGCCGCACCATATGATGACGCCTCCGCATTACATGGCGCCGCCGCTTCCGCCGCCACCGTATATGCATTATCACCCCCAATATCAGCATCACCATCTCCCTATTCAGCATTCGCAGCCGCTACAGGGATCTGGCGGCGAAAACAAAACGATTTGGGTGGGTGACTTGCATCATTGGATGGACGAGAGTTACCTCCATACCTGCTTTGCTTCCATTGGCGAGGTTCAATTTTCTCTCTTCTTTTTCACTCATCTTTACGTTTATTATCGATGATGATTATTTGCTGATTTTCTGGAATCGTTAAAGTTCTCATATAAATCAATCTTTTTTTTTGTTTTTTTTTATTTTTTTATGAAATGATTCATTCTCTTCCTGAACATAAGGCTAGAAATATTGAATAATTCCCTTTTCCGATTCATCCATACAGTTGTAAACGTCTACTAGTTTCTAGTTCTGATGATTTTTCTTTTTGGAGGTTTGCGTACTTCATTGTCGTTGTGCAATTTGAACACAGAAGTGCAGAACCAAATGACAATTATAAGTCTGATCAAACATTTGGTTTGCTTTTTTTTTTTTTTTTTTTTTTTTTGGGGAAAAAANTCTACTAGTTTCTAGTTCTGATGATTTTTCTTTTTGGAGGTTTGCGTACTTCATTGTCGTTGTGCAATTTGAACACAGAAGTGCAGAACCAAATGACAATTATAAGTCTGATCAAACATTTGGTTTTTTTTTTTTTTTTTTTTTTTTTTTTTTTGGGAAAAAAAGGGTTTTGCTACTTTTGAGGAAGTGAGAATTTATTGGAGTTTTTTGTTGCGATTGGTTTACATTTTCTGATATTAGTAGGTTAGAGTATAGAATCTGCGTAAAAATGCAGCCGTATATTTTGCAAAAATGTTGTTTTGGCATTTGACAAATTTTAATGAGAGCGAATTGGCAACTGGTAAACGGTAAAGCAACATAGAAGCATGTTATAGGACTTTTTAGTCCTGTCTAGAATGGCTTTATCTTCTAGCCTCTCAAATTTACCACCTGTTGAATATTGTGAAAAGGGTATGAAGAAGTAAATGGAAGATCACATTCTCTAGCAATTGACATTGACTTTTGTTGCTGAAGGAGGTTTCTTTTATAGTTTTTTATATTTATTTCTGTGCATTCAGCTATGTACATGGATTTTCTACCTACTCTATCTCGTTCTTTTCCCTACTTTTTCGAACCAAATAATAAAAACATTATCCTAACTGTTTCCAAACAATCTTTTTTGTTGAAGAATCTTGAATTTTTCTTAGTTTGGCATGATCATGTTGAACGTTGATTGTTTTATTTCCTGTATGACGCAGATTTCATTGATCAAGATCATTCGTAATAAGCAAAGTGGTTTGTCTGAGGGGTATGGATTTGTAGAATTTTTTGCTCATGCAACAGCTGAAAAAGCTCTTCAGAACTATGCTGGAGTGCTCATGCCAAGTACAGAGCAGCCTTTCCGCTTGAATTGGGCGACATTTAGCACCGGTGACAAGCGATCAGATAATGATCCCGATCTTTCTATTTTTGTTGGTGACTTAGCTGCGGATGTTACTGATGCTCTGTTGTACGATACATTTTCAAGTAAATTTCCTTCTGTTAAAGCAGCAAAAGTTGTCATTGATGCCAATACTGGTCGTTCAAAGGGTTATGGTTTTGTGCGGTTTGGAGATGACAATGAAAGGTCTCAGGCCATGTCTGAAATGAATGGTGTATATTGCTCGAGCAGACCTATGCGCATTGGTGCAGCAACGCCCAGAAAGTCTTCTGGATATCAGCAACAGAATTTTTCACAGGGTATATTTAAATTGTATGGTTACAATGTAATGTGCATAGCCTAAAACCACTTCCAAGAGGGATTAGGGTTAGTCTTTGGGGAGGACATGCAATTCTGGAATAAGTAAAGATATGGAAGCTTTCTACTTTTTCCGGGGCATTTGGTTCAAGACTGAGGGTTATGAATCAAAAAGGGTTGTGAAAATGAAAACTATAATGCTAACAAAGAAATATGTGTTGTGTCTTCCTGTCTGTCAATCAAAAAGGGTTTGGATTTAACTCTTTGAATGCATGTGTTCTTAGTGTTTACTCATGGTTGTACACTTCCCTACCCCTTTTGGACTGCTTATGCATATGTTGTTCTCTGTTTATTATAGGAGAGTATTTAACAAATGGTCCCTTGAGCCAAGGACTCCAATCTGAAGGAGATTCTGCAAATACAACTGTAAGTTGCTTTGGTTATTTTTATCTGCACAGCTAGAAATTCCACTTCGTATTCTTGGTTTAACCTGAGCTTTAATTTTAGATATTTGTTGGAGGGCTTGATCCTAATGTCACCGATGAAGATCTGAGGCAACCTTTCTCACAGTATGGTGAGATAGTCTCTGTTAAAATACCAGTTGGTAAAGGATGTGGGTTTGTTCAATTTGCCAATAGGTAAAAAGTTTGTGATCAGATTTTCCTATCATATAAACCATGAATTAATAGTATCTGTCTGATTATTGGTTTTGTCAATTTGTTGATTTTTTCTAATTTCTGTCACATATTCTTCTCAATTTTCCTCTGCAGAAATGATGCTGAAGAGGCCTTGCAGAAACTAAATGCAACTGTAATTGGCAAGCAAACTATTCGTCTTTCTTGGGGCCGAAATCCAGCAAATAAGCAGGCAAATTACCCTTTTCTCCTAGTGTGAAAATATTAACAAAAAACATGTGCATCACTCTCTCAATTTTCATGCTTTTCCTGAAGGGCAAGGATAGGAAAACAATAAAATGAGCTGTTTTATTAAGAACAATTAAGTATGAACTTTTTATTTGAACCTTGTCTCAGTTATGGAATTGAATTTGGAAACACTTAGCCGGGGAAATGTTTGGTTTACATTCCTTCTTCATTCTTACCATCTGTAGCGGCCGATTTAGGTTGATAAATAGTCTTAACAGCATTTTTTCTTGCATTTGTTGAGGTGTGGCAGTTCAGAGATTTTGGTAACCAGTGGAATGGACCTTACTACGGGGGGCACATATATGATGGCTATGGATATGGTCTGCCACCTCACGATCCAAGTATGTATCACGCAGCTTATGGAGCTTACACTGTATATGGAAGCCATCAACAACAAGTAATCTGAACACAGAAAAGCTCATATTAATCCTTAGGCGCTTTTCAAGTAGAACAGCTGAAGTTGCTTCAGCTTCTGGAATGCACTTGGTTTTAGATTTTTTTTCTTTTTTCCATATTAATCATCCTTCCATCTGCCTAGAGGAACTGAATTTTGATGACCTGAGCTAGTTCTCTCATCTTGTAGGGAATATTATATATTTACTTCATTCAGATTGATAACAAACTTATTTATTAGAATATATATATATATATATATATATATATATATATATATAATGTTGCAATAGTGCATGCATGTTACATACACAATGTCTGGGCTATACCTATTCTTTGGTCAATCTTTCTGTTCATCTTTTTCAACTAGTTTAAGAGTTTCGGCCTTTCAAAATGCAGGATCGATTATTACTAAAGTAAGATTATGTTCATTTGGTGAGAATTTTGGATGTTCTTTTTTGGCATCTGAATCTTATGTTCTCTCTGTTAGAATGGATTTGTGGGTAGGTTGGTATCCTACATTAGGTATGAGTACACTACATATTGACTTTGTTGGACAGAGCATTTCACTTCTGAATCATCACCTTTTCCATTAATATTCTTTACTGTTCAATTGCAAGTCTGCAACTTCCTTTCGATCCATGGAGATAATTCAGAAGCATGATTGAAAATTGAGTGCCCTTTGGGGAAAGAAGAAGAAGAAGAAGAAGGGACCCCTCAAATCAAAACAGTGTTGCACTGCGATTGGGAATTGTAAAAGAGGCTTTTTAGATGGAAGGTGGGTGTGCCATGTCAATGTCACAGCACCGCCGTTGCCCTACGGCTACGGCAAAAGTGCAGCAGCCTGCTAAGAAAAGCATAAAGGTGTTTTAGCACGGCAGGTCCCCCCCCCCCCCCCCCCCCCCCCCCCCCCCCCCCCCCCCCCCCCCCCCCCCCCCCCCCCCCCCCCCCCCCCCCCCCCCCNTTCAAGATTATAACTGGATTTGTCGCTGATTTACTCAATAAACTCCTCTTCATTGCTGCTGCTACTGCTAAGGACACCGACAAAGGAAGGAAGATGAGGTTGCTCCCTTAGAATTATTTTATTTTACTTTGCAAAAGGACAATATATTTTTATTATTTGGGCTAACAAAATTATTTGTCCTGACATTTCTTAATGGGTTCCATTTGTTTTCTTTTTTTTTTTTTTTTTTTTCATTGAAATGTTGAGTTATTTGTAGGGGAGATTTAAATTTTACGTTATTATTTGAGTTATTGAATAATTAGTATTTATTTAGTTGAATTATAGTTTTTTTAGTTTGGTATTTAATAAATCTTTCATCTCTTTAAAATTTTGAATTTTTATGTTCAACTGTTCATTGAACTGCGTGTACTAAAATTTTAAATTTTATATAATGTGTCAGATAGATTTTTTACATAATTCTTTTTTTTTTTAATTAAATATATATTAAGATAGAAATGGATTTTATGTTGAGTTTGCTTTTGTTTGTTTATATTCATTTTTAAAAATCATTAATTGCCTATAGAAATTGCAGATCTGTCAAATTAATTTTCAAACAAACAAATAAAGAGCAACAAAATTCTAAGTTCCGCGGGAAAACAATAATCGGAATCGTTTAGTGTGCAATTACGCCTCTGCTTCGGCTCTCCAACAATAACATTCTTCAATGAATTTGCATTAATTGCAAAAGGATGATCGATCAAGGGACTAAAAAATTTGTTAGGTCGTGCATCTGTCATTTTCCTCTTGAATCTGACTTTTCCGCTTTCAAGATTGCTTCAGTTAACACCAATTTCCCGATTGATCGACTCTATGAAGAACAAGCAGGTATAATAATAACCCTCTTTTACTCATCTGCCCTGCAAAATCGTTTGTCTGCCATCGATTATGACACGCCTTAACTCTCCAACTGCAATTTGATTCTAATTATTTTTGTTTGGAATTTAGAACAAGAAGTTGCCAATTGTTGGATGTGTTCGATGGGCCGTCGCGCGAGTGCGCATAAACTGTTTGTCAAAATGCGAATCCGCTTTGGCATTGGAATTGCTGCTGAGGTTACTATTGAAACACTTCTGGCTACTTACTTTCTTCATTAATTCAAGTACACAAGACATTTAAAACCTCTTGAAGAACTCAGCAGCCCGATCATTTCGGAATTCAAATAAGAACTAGTCTCATCCCAACTGCCTTTAGAACAGGGTCCCCCAATAATTAAATGTCTCCATACATGGAAAGATTATTGCTTTATTACTTTTGTTAATCATGGAGCATTAAGATATTTCTGCTTTGATGTCTCTGTCACGTGGATGTGAGTGCCTACTTTGATTTTTTTTTAATTTATTTTACATTTTTCTTTATTTCCCACAAGCCTTTTTTAAGTCGATAAGTGACCATTTCTATCATGAAAGCATCCATTCCATGTGTAAGTGACAAAATAGCCAAATTTGCTTTTCCAAAAAACAGAGATTTCATTATTAAATACACTACTTTTCCAGCTTGAAGCTTGTTTTTAAAGAAATCAGCTTGAAGCTTGAAGGGACATTAGACATTTTATGAGCAGTGGGGTTTTGTTTGAACGCATTCATTGGTTGATTTCTTAGAGATAAGAGGCTTCATTTCTGATCAATTATCTTTTCTTGATGGATAAGGAAGAAAGTAGGTGGGGAGCATTTTCGAGCGGCATAAATTGGTGCTCGGTGAATTTCTTTCCCTCTTTTCAAGTCAGGTCTGAAAATGCAAATCTGTTTTATTCATATTAAGAACAGAGCAGAAATGGGTTATACATTTCTTGAAATGAAAGGGGGATTATTATAATAAGCTTTGGTATTAGGTAGTTAATTAAGAACGAATACCAATGTCATTACGTATGATCAAACCAGGTAATTCTAGAGCTCTTCTGCTTTGGATCTTCCGAAAGAAGTAAAAATGTATTAATTGGTTGGCAAGCATGTGACTGTGGCAGTCTTTGCCCTCAAATTCATTCCTTATTAATATTTTATGCAATCGCCTCTCAGTGTGCTTCCAAAGTCACTAACAATCACAACCCACATGGGATTTGATTTATATTTAACCAATGAAATCTTAATTACTCTGGTTGTACTCTGTTTTCAGGATTCATTGTATTCTGAAAGTCCATTCCCAAAAGAAAGTAAAAAAAAAAAAAAAAGGGATATAAAGGAGATGGGGTTCGAAAGAGAAGGCACACGCTGTTCCATGATGAAGCTGGCATGTTGTGGACCATAGAGAGGGATATGCAAGAGATGCACATAAACTTTCTGCAAAGCCATTCGTTTTACCTTTCAATCTGTGAGTAAATCTATCTCTTTTTCTCTCACAGATAAGCTTTTGAAGCGGTGGAAGATATGGTAAATTAGTCCCGAGGCGGTAAACCCGGTTGTCTGTGGCCGTCATATACAGTATCTTAAATAGACTTCCATGTCTCCGAGACATCCAGTATCTGCTATTCCGAAAATAAAGTCCCAATTCTTGTTTCTTTGCATTGATCGAGGAATGTCGAAATTGGGAGGTAAATCGTTGAGAGTGGTCTTTCGCCATTGAATTTCTTAGACGTCTATGAAAAAATGAGCCTCTTTTCCTCTCAGAAAGGTTTGATCTCCATTTAAGGCACGCTTTGATCCCTTGTTTTGTCTGATTCGATGGAATTGTTTTGTTAGATATTTTGACGTTGAGAAGGAAATTGAGTAATAAATTTGGTTTGGATTGCAGTTTTGAAGAGATGGATCGCAAAGGGAGGACAAGGCTGCAGTCAATGAGAGCATCTGCGAATCATGAAAAAGTAATCCCAGCCATACTTCCAAGTCTTGTGCATAGTTCTAAGTAGGTCGCTGTAGTTTCTTACCTTATTTATTGCATGCTTCGAAAAACGGTTTGTTCTGTTGTGAGCGAAAGCCATGAAAAATATGAAGAAATCTTCTTATCTCTTTTATTCTGCATCTGATGAAGTTCTAAATTTATATGAAGTCTCCTGCTTTCCTTCATACAAATTCTGTCGCCCATCATCTTACTTCTGGGCTAGAATCACTGGTGCGATACTACTGTAAAAGCTAAAAGGTTGAATTCTAAATTGCCTTGAAGGGAAGCGTGGATATGCCGGCGGCGAACTTGCCTGATGCAGCAAAAGCAACCACAAGCGGACGGGTTGCAAGCAGAGAGAGAAAAGTGGCTTTACAACAAGACGTATGAACGTTTCATCCCGATCAAAATCGCTAATTACTTGTTTTCTTCTTCATAATTTTATATTGGATTTGGCATTCTGAATCATCAGGTTGACAAGCTGAAGAAGAAGCTCAGACATGAAGAAAATGTAGGTCGTGCTTTGAAGAGAGCTTTCACCAGACCTCTGGGAGCTTTACCCCGCCTCCCTCCTTTTCTTCCTCCCAATGTACGTATTTCAAATCCTCAATTCCTTCCTTATTGATAGCCTTGGATTTTCCTTAAACATTGAAAACAATTATATTCATAATTCATGCTAGCAGTCGGGAATATAGTTTTTTTTTAAAAAAAATTGTAAACAGAGGCTTGGTTGGTGAAACGAAGCCAGAATTGTAATGCCAGATCTTTAACGCCTGCAGATGCTAGAACTTCTTGCCGAAGTAGCTGTTCTTGAAGAGGAGGTGGTGCGGCTTGAAGAGCAGGTTGTGCATTTCAGGCAGGACTTATATCAGGAAGCTGTCAACATTTCCTCCTCCAAGAAGAACATGGAGTTTTCCCTCAAAAACAATTCCAAGCAACTTCAATCCGAACTTTCAGTTCAGAAGACTGGTAATTCATTGGCAACCATGAACGATAAAGCCAAAAAAAAATTTATGAGTTTGAAGTTATTAAATGAAAAATGTGGATCAGGTTTGGAATTACCTTTTGACCCCTTTTTCCTTTGCCTATTTTCTGTTTCAGATAATGGTCTGGGAAAGGAAAATGAATCGCGTATGAATTCGACAAGTAACCACAGGGTGTCTTCTCTCCAGAAAACCCATACGATAAAGACTCCACTCAAGAAATCTCCAGCTCGTTACAAATCATCAGAGAAACCGAATTCTCCAAAACTGAATGTGAGTATGAAATTTCCATATTATTCATTTTTGGTATTGTTATAAACACACACACATATATACATATACTTTTCTCATATTCAGTTCGAAAACCGAGAGACGAGTCCAGAAAACGCTGAAGCTAGACGACTACGTGCTCCAGACAACAAGGTATCTGGTGATGATAGTCCGAACAATATCTCTGAAAATATTTTGAAATGCTTATCGAGCATTCTTTTAAGGATGAGCTCAATCAAGAACAGAGGTGTCACTGAAAGTTTACATCTATTCTCAATGCTAACTACGAGGCAAACTGAAGAGACGGATCATCAGGACCCTTATAATATATGTTCAGAGTTTGGAATGCGAGATATTGGTCCATACAAGAACGTACATATAGTTGAAGCCAGTTCAATTAATACAAAGCGGACGACAAACTCGTTGTTTCTATTCCAAAGATTGAAGTAAGTTTTGCGCTACTGATAATAATATTGCATCGCTTCATGCTGTTGTTTTGGAAATTAAATATTAAATCTAGCCTCAATTTTTCTAAATTTCAGACTCCTCTTGGGGAAACTTGCTTCTGTCAACTTGCAACGTCTTACACATCAGGAGAAACTTGCCTTTTGGATCAACGTCTATAACTCCTGCATGATAAATGTACGCCATTTTTCTGGGAATTTTTTGCTTAAGAGACCCTTCTAGTTAGTGATTTCTTTCTTTCTATTTGTTGGCATTCTTTCCTATGCTTTCTTCGGCACACGCTTACGTGATTGAATTCCTGTAGGCATTTCTACAACTTGGAATACCAGAGAGTCCGGAGATGGTTGCTGGTTTGATGCAGAAGGTACAGATTATTATTGATTATCCTTCTGCTCTACTCTATATAGCTTTGTTCTTTCTTCGTATTTTGGCAAACTATCTCATAATAATAATGCGTCCACCAGGCAACAATTAATGTGAGCGGACACTTGCTAAATGCTATAACCATTGAGCATTTCATTTTGAGACTTCCTTACCATTCGCAATATGTAAGCTGCTGATTTCAATAATGTATTGTGATGTTTAATTTTGAAGTTAAGGTTGGGAAGTTCATAACTTCGTAATTTAATTTGACCACAGGCTTTCTCAAAGAGTGCCAAGTACGACGAGAAGACATTTAGAAGTATTTTTGGGTTGGAGTTATCAGAACCATTGATTACGTTCGCATTATCATGTGGAAGCTGGTCGTCCCCAGCTGTAAGTTCTTAAACACATCAGCAGATTTCCGATCTTTACACCTACTTTTGATTAAAACCTTCATACCATTTCCTTTTTCTTCGCATCAGAAGAAGCCCAGTACTGGTTCTGGATTATTAATTACTCTTCAATTATTCTGCAATTCTCTTTCTAAAGATAGTTCCTAATAAATGAAAATCTGTTCATTAATTATCTAGGCAATTATTTTCAAGTTATTCATCCATATTAGATTTAAGAGACCCTGATGTTTTTCCATCCTCTGATTCCACTTTTAATTTTCATGAACTTTTGGTTAATGAAGGTGAGAGTGTACACAGCATCCCAGGTCGAGAACCAGCTAGAATTAGCAAAAAGAGACTATTTACAAGCTGCAGTAGGAATTGCATCAGAGAAGTTTGGAATCCCAAAGCTGCTGGATTGGTATTTGCTGGACTTTGGTAAAGACTTGGACTCCTTGGTTGACTGGGTCTGCCTTCAGCTACCAAGTGAATTAGGAAAAGAAGCAATTAAGTTGATAGAGAGGAGAAGAAACCAACCTCTTTCTCAGTTTGTTAAAGTAATACCTTATGAATTTAGCTTTAGATACCTTCTCTGCACATAATAATTCATAATCCAGTTCGTTTTTCTGTGGATGTTTTCTTTTCTTTTTTTGGCAGCAATGGTTCAGATTTAGTAGTAGCAGTAGTACACTGTATGATAGGGGTATTATAAAGAAAATAGACTTGTACATTGTTTGGTAACAGTGCAGGGTGAAAAATTTAAGCACCTCGTGGCTAATGTGAACAACAGATGATTCTTGATCTTGGGTGTACTGAGCATTAATGAAAGAACCAAAATAATTATGAACAGAAGAAGAGAGCATGAGGCTAAGGTGTGTGTGTGATTGATGTTGACTTGCGCCAGATGGCATTGATTTGATGGGTTAAGCATTAAAAAAAGAAGTGCCAACTGTGTTTGGCTGTAACGCAAAAAAGGATTTGGTGAAAAGATGGAATGAAGACAATAACATAATATTACTCAATTTAATCAGCCTGCCAACTCAGTGCACAGGTCATCTCTCCCACAGTCCAAGAGGAAATCACATGTGGCCTTCTTCAGACTACGACATTATGTTGTTATCAAGGACTTTACCATAGACGGATGCTTAAACTCCAGACTTCGTGGGGCACAGTTTTACTACTATTCTTCTTCTTATTATTATTTTTCCCACATAGTGACTTAACCCATTGAACTATGAACTAATTATTAGAAAAAACAGTATCATTTAAAGCAGGAATTGGATACTTTAAAAAAAAAAATGTCATTGTAGCTATTTTCAAGTTCACGTGAAACATAATATCAAAAAATGTTCGATTGGAACTCAAATGATACATAATTCTACAAAAAAATCATGGAAGGAATCTAAACCAGCCATCCCCCCAAAAAAGAGATACTGAGTAAACATCCAATCACCAGTTGATTTGCAAAGTGAAAGCTGGAAGATTCTAAGTTTTGGCATGTTGAAAGGAATGGTAGGTGAGTAAGAGGTTTCAAATTTGTCTTAATCTGAAGGAATTTGATTCTAATCAAGAAGAGTGGTCCTTGCAATCTCTTCCACCTAAAACGGGAAAACCTCACCCACCTATATATCTATATTGAAGGGCAACAACAAACTGCTTAGTGTGATCACTACTACACAATACAAATAAAAGTTAAAAGCCTGAGAGTGACCACTCATGTTCTTTCTAACTCCATTTCCTCCCCACCTCTACCACCCGTGAGTTGGTTAAACAACGATGTTTTATGTGGAAAGTATTAACAATTTAGAAGTCCCATTTGAAACCCCCTTTAGAATTAAACTTGTCTACTAACCTTTTTCGAAAAGGCTCGAATCATCATGATGCCCATCTTGAAAGTTTCTTCAGGAGTCTTCTTGTCGTTGTCTTTCCATCTCTTTGAATTTTCTGAAATTATTAGGTTCATAACGATTTAACAAAATGGTAAAAAAAATTTATGAGTCAAGGACCCAGTGTTTGATTTGGTTGTCTCTTGAGATTTGGTGGGCATCATATCCCTCAGAAATCAAGCTATTAAACGACGACATGTGATTGGTCTGCCGTGAAAAATTACCACCATTCCATTGGAATAACAGGAGAGTGGGTGAAAATCTAAGCGACAAACTGAAAAGTGACTTAGTTCATGAAGGTAGTAAAATAAGAACTATCGTTAAGGAAGAAAGCCTAGCAGTAGTGACAAAGAAGAAGAATTATTCCTCTATAATAAGATTAGTAACAGAGTCGAGAGAAAGTAATGCAGATTTTTTTTCTGAAGGGCCACATGAAAGGGCCACATGGAGATGAAATTCCCAGCTAAGAACAGCCAACAAAGGAATTAGGTACCTGAAAAGGACTGAAGTCGGCCCACAAAATTCCAAGGTTCAGAGTCAGACTTCCGGCTGTGGGCTACAAGGTCCAGTTTGACCCTACTTGGCCCAACAAGGCCCAGTTAGCTGAAGCTAGCAGACTTACTTTTAATACTTTACACTAAGGAGCCGTTTGAACATGGAAGGAATTTGAAGTACTTGAATTTAAAAGACAATTATATGATTGATAATATTTGTTTGAGAGACATGATATCAATTTTTTATTATTTTTTATAAATACAAAATAATAAATAAATAAATAAATGGATGATCACGGTTGAAAAATTAAGATAAATCCAAATTTTCACTTATGAATCGGGCTATATTTAAATAGAGTTTACTTAATATGTAAATGAAATATATAAATGTAGTTAAAAACTTATGATCTGAATAAAGGACATAAAGAAAGCTTGGGAGATGGGGCTCCTGAATAGTTAACGATACAAGGAAGGAAAGGTTGTAAAAGCCAGGAAGACCTTTAAAATCATGTAACATATATGTGACATGAAGCTACATGCAGAAATTATAATAGTTCATCCAAATGCTGAGTTGAAGTTATTGACAGAAGATCTCCAAAAACTTATTTCATGTAATTCACGAAGTATAAGGTTTCCAAACATACATACCAGCACATTAGATTCTTAGTCAAAGTTATCGATTTTGATTGGGTTAATATCGTCTGCAACTTGAAAGCGTCCTACTGATCGAGCAAAGAACATCATTTGCTGTTCCAGGGTAAATTTAATATTTTCTGCCTGCATTAAATACACAAAGTTTAGCATTCTATACCCCAATGCCAAAACTCAGAAGTACCACTCAAAAGATGCAGTAGCGTAGACCTTGCGGAAACCATGTTGTTCTCCTTCATACTCGACTAGAGCAACAGGCAAGCCCTTATCCTTCAACGCATTATAAATCTTACGAGCTTGATTGGGTAGTACGACCTGGATATTCAATACAAAGTGTTTACCCAACAAATAACTGGCCTTCATTACCATGAAGAGATGCATGACATGTTTTACATCATCATTATTAGGAGAAAAAGAAAGATAAATGGGCATACTTTGTCCTCCAGTCCCTGGAATAGGATTATAGGGCAAGAAAATTTGTCAACAAAATTGATTGGTGACCTTTCAAAGTAATCTTTTTCGTTCCCTGCAGCCCATAATAATTCGTATCAGAATTCAAACTATTAAAATGAGAAGGAAATCAAATATGAGATTCCTTATTTGTTCTTCAACTCACCAACGAGATTGTCAATATAATGAGATTCAAACTTGTGTGTATCTGCTCTCAACAAGCTTAAGTCAGCTATCTATTCAAAGATCATGAGAACTACAATCAGTCAACTGTTGCACGGTTTCTAGTTTCAAAAGTTAGTAAGCAAAGACAAATATATACATATGTGTGTGTGTATTAACAGAAAGCAGAAGGGAGTTATGATCAAAGGGAAAGGGCTATATGAACGAGTAATACATACAAAAAAAAAATCTACAACATCAACACCATTAGAGATGATACTGGGTCGTGCACTTAGACAGCTGACTGTAGAAGAAAACGAGCAGTAATCTCTCTTTGTAGACAATAAAATCACCAACAAGCGTTGTAGGCTTGTAGCTGAACTTCAATTTAATACCATGCTTTCATTACTTAGTTTCGGTAATAAGTGATTAAAAGTAAAATTTAAAATCATACCATACCATCGAACATTCATTTTTGTTTCAATGCAAGCAGTATAACAGAACACAGTTTAACAGCAAAAAAAAAGAGAAGAATTATAACATAAATTTTGGTTTGAGAGCTACGCTTATCACTGTAATTATTCTGAGAGACCAGATTAGCATAAAGACAAGACGCTCACCCCATACAAGGAAGCTCCTGCCTTAAAAGTATCTCTAAAAGCAAGAGCAGCTAAGGTGGTATATCCCCCAGCAGATCCACCAGTGATGCATAATCGTTCTCCATCAACCTTTCCAGAGTCCACCTGGAGAAAACAATATGGTTTGATATTGCTCAAGGTTAGATAGGTGTATCACTAATTAATCATGAAAATATTAGTTCTAGTGAAAGCAAGATCGTAGGAGGGTGCCACCAAAAATCTTGCACAACTGCAGCAATCATTGACATCAACAATTCCCCATTGCCTCAAAAGCCTTTCTCGGTACTCTCTCCCATAACCTTTATAGCCAAATCATAAATACCTTAGTAAATAACTATGATAACTATAAAAAACATTCCTAAACTAGAGAATCTAATTGGCAAGTATGAGGCAATTCAGCATTGCAGGGAACGGACATAGAAAGAATTTTTTTGTTCTTTAAATATATTTAAAACTAGTAATGGTTGCAATCATACCAGTGCTACCACCATAATTGACATCAACATAACCCCAGCCTCGACTAGTCCAGTATTGAATGCTAGGATTTAAATTTCCACGTGTTTCAGCAGTTGGTCCTCCTGTAGGGTAATATCTATAAAATATCTACTTTTGCAGAAGGAGCTATGCCATAACTAGAAATAAAAGCCAGTAAGAATCATTCCAACAACACTTCATTTAAGGTAAAGTACGAAACATACTTTTTCCTGTCTCTTATGAAATAATGACAAATTTTTAAAAAATGTTCCATTAAAATAAACGGCAAATATTCCAACACCCTACTTGATAGGAAAAAAGATTGCAGGATACTGGTTTGAATTATTTCCCCCAAACTACGAAAGTTTAATGACAGCGTAGTTGCAACATACCATGGCTTTTCAACAACAACGGAGGCTTTTCATCCTGACTAGCCTGGTAAATAGGATTGGACGGTCGATAAAAGTAGGCATAAGCATTTTGGCCAGGAACTTCAGTAGGAAATTCAATGAACTCAGGAAGGCTGAAATACGACTTAAATTTCAAAATATCCGGAGAAGAAGACCAGATAATAGTGAAACCTTCTACTCCCAAGGTTCTTTCATTTAAGGTCACCTGCATGGGAAAAGTGGCATTGTCAAAGACAGGCAGAAACAATTTCATCCGATGTTTTATAACCAGAATCTTTTGAAATTTAGCAATGTTGAAAGCAGAAATCTGTGAAAACTACAAAGAAAATGGAAGACAGATAATGGCAGAAAAAAATAAGACCTTGGCAATAGATGATGGATGAAGTGCCGAAGATCCTTCCACATATATACAATGATTTCCCAGAGCCTGCAAACATAAACATGTTTATCTAATATAAGAAAATATTACTAAC